GCCTCCTGTTTTTTTGTTAATGTAGTGAATAAAAATGAGACACTTGTGTACTGTTTTGAGTTTTTCATACATGATAAAAGAAAACCATTTCTGAAAGGGCAGCTCATCTCATTTTTGGCTTCTGTCAAAATGATGGCTGCCTGCAAGTCAGGTTTGTCCTCACGCAGAGGTTGTCTGAAACATGACAGTTATGTCAACACTGTAAGACCTTCAAGGAAAAGGCTCTGTGATCTGAGCTGATTTAGTCACGGTGACGTGAGTAACGGCTTCAAAACATACAGTAAAATGCCTCTGTCAATTTAATGTTAAAATCATCTAGCAGGGAAACCAAAAATTCAGCTGGTACCGATCTTTACGGGACATGCGAACCTGAGTGCAGACTTTGTGGATGCCTGGTCTGGGAGAAGACCTAACTACAATAAAAATGTCTCTATTAATATACGGTTTAATTTCTAATTACACTGGTACTCAATTCAATATCAACATGTGTGATGAAGAAAAGCCTAAAGAGATGACTGCTGGTACGTACTTACTGCTTGAACCATTCCCTGCTGAGACTTGGAGGAAATCTCTCAGATGCTCAGCCATGTGCGGTGATATTTCATGACATCCCTTTGGCATGGGGGAGACATATCTTAGTGTGACATCTGCAGCCTGCCAACCAATACAGTTGCGAGGAAATAAAGACTCTAAGGCCACTTAAAGCACCCCTCCTCTCTAACATTATTGAATGTTGATGAAATTCTGCCTGTAGTTTTAACAACATGCTTGAACTCTCCCTTTTCTACTGCTTCGTGGATGTACACCGTCCTGTAGCAGTGGGACTTTTGTTTTGTGCACAAGGAGCTCTTCCAAAGACTGTATCTTTTAGAGTCGTTTCTCAGACTGCGGGCTGATTAGCATTGAGCCCAGACAGTCAGGTTCTTTATCACAAAGTCTCAACATGAAATATTGGCATTTGTGTCAGCCTCCTTATGTCTAATATTTGCTGCAGGACATTTGGCAGTAGACGCAGCTACATTACAGGGCAATTGCCAATGAAATGGCGTGTTATATTATAATTATTAATATTGTTATAATTGATACTAATAATACTAATACTACTACTAATAATAATTATAATAATCCTCTTATTTTTCTTTTGGCCTAATCCCTTTTTGCTTTCTTCTTCTTCTTCTTCTTATTATTATTATTATTATAATTATCAATAATAATAATAATGTATTATTATTTTTTAATTATTATTATAATTATTAAACAGTTCTTTTAGTTTAGCCATTAGCATCTTCAAATCTCAGCAACACACTGTAGTGACTTGTCACTGACAGCAATACATTTCCTGTCAAGTGAATCAGCCAGTTGTCAAAGGTAGGGGTTCCCAAACCTTTCCATGCCAACCTTCATTTGCGGCTTTACAACAATTTTAACATTTGGTACTTGTGTCTTTGCATGACATTTCATTGTGAAATGTTTGCAGATGTGCCCCATTACTGGAAAGGTATGTGTGAAGGTGTCTGTGTGAAATGTTTTTAATGAAAAACAGAAAAAGAAAATGCAGACATAAGCAACCCAGCTGCAGTTCATTCATAAATACTGAAGAGGAACCTTAAAAATTAGGTCAGATATCTTTTGAAAAATGGACCCCATTTTTCAAAATCTCTTTGTAATGAATATGAAACAGCAGGTTACAATGGCTTTAACTCTTCCCCAACTATGAATACACAACATTATGTGATGTCACATATTTATAATTATTATTTTTATCAAACATGTTCCAATTAAATTGAAAATTGAAAATTACTGCAGTAAAATAAATTTAAAATATCACCTGAAAGTGCAACTGACCTTAAAAGCTCTAAAGGGAAGCACTATCCTTTGCTCTACTTTCATGCAATTATATGGCTTTCAGCCAGACATGAAGAAAGCACTGTCACTATATCCTAATATGTCATCAAAGCTCCAACAAAGGCAATGTATCAGGTGTGAGGCTGGGGAAAATAGAAAGAAAGACAAACAAAAAAAAACTTAGCCTGTAGCAAAAAGTTAGGAGATGGGGAGTTCAACCTGGTTTCTTCTGCTTATGGGGAGATTTAAGAGTAAATGAAAAAATGTTTTCTATCTGATCGATACACAAATCAATAAGATGATTTAACAACAAAATACCGCCTCCTCTATAACCACTTACACCCTTATTATTTCCTGCCAACATGAAGTGGAATGTGGCTATGAGCTGCATTTTATTTTTTTATTACCATAAAAAAATGGAATATACTCACTGGAGTTCAATCACCAATACTTAAGTTACTTACTACTTTAAACCAAGGGATAAATAAATGTAATAATGATATTCAATAACGGAACGGAAAGTGAGCAGAGCTTTGACGCCAAACTTCAGCTGAACTAAACACGGAAAGTGAGCAGAGCTTTGACGCCAAATTTCAGCTGAACTAAACACAATGTCACCATTTCCATGTGCCGATGAAAACACACACATAATGTTGTTTAAATAAGTCAAGAGTGCCTTGAAAATATATATATATATATATATTTGTCTTTCTATTCCAGCAATACATAGGAAAAATGGTTTAGGACTTTTTACGAACGTTGATTTATCCTGACAAATCATGATTAATCACGATTAACTTCCTCCATAAATATTCGGGATTAATCCACTGCTGTAATTGTACACAATCTTAGAGAATATAATAAATAATAGTAAAAAAAACACACTTGGACAATTCCACAGTACAATAATCTCAACTCTTTGCAGCCAACAGGAGCCTTTAAATGTATCGACACGACATGTGCTTTTTGCAAGAAGGACCACAGTGCTGTCTCTAAGTGACATGTGAAGGTAGCCTCTGCTTCATCTGAGAGATATGAGTCACTGAAATGGACTTCTAATTGACACTTCGTATTGGTTCTGTATATTAGTGAGAAGACAAGTGTCTTGAGGGAGCTTTTCATGTGCCTGAAGATGCCTGCCACACTCAAATTATTTCCCTGTTGGTCTTAAAAACCTAACCTTAATTGGATTACTTCAGCACAAATTGGCAGAGGGAAAAAAACAGTCACCAAAGCCAACAGAGTAGAGGGCAATCAAATGCAGACAAGCCAGCAAAAACTACTCACAAATAAATCAAACACTCCTCGTTGCAGCCGAGATCGCCGAGGCTCCACCAGATAAAACCCCAACAGGAAACCATTACAATCAATTTCTGACATACATCATTTTTACCACGGCAGCAGAAAGGGTGCAAAAATCAGTGATATCTGTTAGGTGGATTTCAGCTGTGGGAATGTAATCTGAGCTGCTGTCACCGGCTGGGTAAGAAGAGAGCAAACGCTATAAAGAACACATCTGCTGAAATTAGACAGGAAGTATGAAGAAATCCACTCAATGTTTAAGAGCTGAAATTGATGCGAGCTATTTATCACACGGAATTACAACATGCTCCTCAACTCTCAGTAAAATCTAAATCAACGGCAGAGAAAAGAGGAGATAATATTTCCCGCTGCTCAGTGGTTTAGTTGTTAGCAACGTTGCCTCGCAGACGAGATTTTCAATTCATAGCTAACACAGCTTTGCTGTGTGTGGTTTCGCATGTTTTCCAAAAAACACGCAGTCTCTCTCACTGAGAGTAGTCATCAGTCATTATATCAGTCTTTAAAAGACCGTTAAACAATATTGTTTGTCTAAATACAGTACTATTTCCCTCAGAGACAGATCAATCTGATAATCGGTATTGATCCGATATAGGTCAGAATTTCAGGATAGAACATTCGATACCAAGTACTCTCTGGTCTGTTTGCAGGGCAGTCGTGCTAATCGTTACACTATGAAACCACCTATCAACCATGAACTCAGTGTTATGAAGGTGTTCGGTGGATTTTACAGTTTGTCTCGCTCTTGCCTCCGTCCCTGGTGTTAAAATACCAGCAACAACAGCTGACATTGTTCATCAAATTTAATAAACTGCCCATGAGGGCAATGAGACATTGAACTGCAGTAGGAAAAACACACATACAGAAACACTGGCTGACTCCTCATGACCCAGCTGGTCTTGGTGAAAAGGATCATCTTACCAGATGGGCATGTTTTTAAGTATGAGAAAGAATATTTGTATGAAGTATAAGGCCTAATACCAGTACTGGTGAATACCCATAAATAAATATGCTTATTTTTCCTGCCTTGTGTTACCCTTCGTAGTACACAGTACAGTAATTTGTTTAAAAAATAATAATGGTGTATATAATATATTTATTATAATTTTAGTATAAATTGATATATTATTACCGTATTTTCCGGACTATAGAACCTGTATATAAGCCACACCCATTAATTAAAAAAAAAAACTCGGACTATAAGCCACCGATATGAGGAATGACATATTTACCGGATACACAGGAACACAGAAAGATTTTGTACCATAAATGTTTATTTATATACCTGAACTGAAAAAGTAGCGGCTTATAGTCCGGAAAATACGGTATTTTTTTTTCATATATATTTATGTATAGTTTGTGAATATGTATGTTTATATATTGTATGTTAAATTACAAAATATCATGTACATATAAAAACTGCTAATATGCTATGCAAAAAACTGGTAATAGTAATGATAATTTGTCATGTGTTGTCATACTTCACAGTCTCTATCATACTTCCTGTGGCCTGACACAGAGGAATGAACACAAACACTAAACCAAGACAACATTTCAGGCACCACAGCAGCTGATATAAGGTGTTGATTAGCAAGCCAAAGGTGCCACGGCAGCAGCTAGATCCTAAGAAGGCAAGGCTGTGAAGCTGAGACCTGCATCCACTGATCTGAACACATGTCGAACAGTGCACTCCAGTAATGTTGTTGTTTGTTGTTGTTTGTGCACTAGTTGTTTCTTAGTCAGAAAGCTCCAGTTCAAAACTATCTTTTTTGGCTCACTCACCAGCACAGAACAGTCGACTGAAATATAAAATGAAAAGTCTTGCATTGTTTTACCTCCAGAATGCGGTGGAGGGCCACACAGCAGAACCACTCCTTGGCCTTCACGCACTGACACAGAGCTTCTTCTGTGAGTCTTGAAGTTCTCCAAGTCTGAAAATGAAAAAAAAAAGACAATTATTTAATTATCACATGAGCATGTTGTCTTGGTATTTTTTTTTTTTTTTTGGTTTTTTTTTGACAGTGGGGTTTTTTTTTGGCATTTCATTCAGATTATGGA